TAAATACAAAGTATGCCTCTGTAATGCTTGCTGTCTTAATAATACCTCATTCAAATGCAGCTTGCGAAAGAATTTTTTCTATTGTTAAAAAAAATCAGACGGAATTTCGACCAAATTTAGGTCTTAAAACTCTTGAAGCAGTTTTTGATTGAAAAAATAAATATGCAGGCAAATGAAGAACTGTGTTATAAAAAAACATTCTCAAAATCAGAACTTAAGCTTGCTAAGCATGCTACATATAAATCTTTGCATTCATAAATTATGCGTATTTTGTTTAATACTTATATGTATCATTCTTGGTTATTTAAATTTTATTTCCCTGTAGAAATCATATCCAGAATAAAGATATGATTTATAGCTTCTGATTTTTTTTCTATGATTAGTAGTGATTTGAAGTACTTTTTATTAGTGAATGCTTGAGGAGTTAAAAGAAAATTTCTAATTAAATATGCATATAATTTACAAGGTATATTTTTAATTATTCAGTTTTATATGTATATGGATTTTAAATGTAATAAAATTGCTTACGATTAATTATTAATTTAAAATTAATGAATGGTTAATTACAACATACGCTACGCGCACATTTTCAAAGTTGTAAAAATGTCGTTCGCGCGTTGACTACTGACAAGGTTTGCTGAAGGTTGGAGTCTATGCACTATTAATCGGCTTTTATCACCAACGCCTAGTGACCCATAGCCTATTAATCAGCTTTTTTTAGCCAATGCCTACCGACCAATAGCCTATTAATCGCTTTTTCTCTGTGCTACCTAAAAATAGCCTATCAATCAGCAGCCATGGCGATAAACAATTGCCATTTGCTATATCATCTGCATTTTATTATTAGTATTGAGGTACATTGCTCACTTGTGTTAAGTGCGTTGCTTCATAAACTCCTACATTTTCACACCATTTCTTAAAAAAATTACCATTTACGATTTGCGAAAAAAATGGTACTGGAGAGTTTTATTTAGACGATTTATCAGATTGTCCTGACAGTTATTTAGAACATGAAGAATCTGCGGTTGAGCGGCTGGTCAGACGTGCATATGTTGTTGAACCACTAGCGGTCGGTAAAGTGTTAAGCCATGTATTTGTGTCTCATTTTCATGAAAAGGAATTCTGTTAGCGACCTTTTGATTATCAAATTTATATTCTTAGGCTGCTATCACACGTGGGTTTGTTTCGGAAGAACAACTGTTTGGAACAATTTTTTTGCTTTGTCACAACAGCCTATCACTATAGATCACTTTGGGGTTAACACAGGAGAAACTGGTTCCCCATTACAAACAAGCTGAAAACTGGTTGGTTGAAAATGAACAACTTGCAATTTTTTTCGAAAGGAAGGAAAAAATTGCACGTCCTTCTTTCAGTAGTAAACCAGGCAGAAAAATTGTCCGAAAGAGTGGTTTGTGTGAAACAAACGTTGTGTGATATGGGTCTTAGAGGTATAAATAAGACTGAAAATTTGCACTTGGGGGGGGGAAACATTATTGAGTATGCCCAAAAATCTAGATATGTTGAATTGCACTTGGCCTCAGATTTACATTTTAATATACTGCGTAAAATTATATGTATGTATCTGTATATTTTATTGAAGTATTTGTATATTTTCAGTTTATTTCATTTCAAATACGTACAATTCTAGGTATGAAAGATTTAACTCAGGTTCTTCTGAAGGAGTAAAATCTTGGTTTAGTTAATTTTTAAATTATTAAACAATTATATTTAAATTAGATTAAATGCATTATTTAAGAATACTTTATATGAAAATAATGTAAATTTCAATTTTGAGTTTGGTTTTTAATATTGATAATTGATTATAGTTATTAATTGATTTTTAAAGTAATTGAACATACCTTAAATAATATGATAAAATTAATTTTTTTAAATTTATATGTGTGTATATGTGAACATATTTCCACATTTATTTTTCTTTCTACAGGCATATAAGGCTTGAAAAATTACGACAAGCAAGTGTAAGGGAAGATTCATGCTCACTTTGTTTTGATGGATCTGCCACAGTTAGGTTAGATCCTTGTCGTCATACGTAAGTGATTTAATAAATACGAATATTCTCTGTTCTTTGATAGTGTAGATTAGCAGTGAAAAACCTTCTTTAACAATGGGCCAACTGCAAATTAAAAAAATATTTTGCAGCCCAGATATAAGATATTAAAATATTAAACACAGAACAGAAATTATATCTTAATTAACAAAATAACAATCTTATAAAAACAAATTTTGAAAATTTGTAATTGAAATACTATAAAAAACAGCAAAATATAATTATTTTAAGAAAACTCTCAAATAAATTTTAATGAGAAGTTTGGCATTGCTTCTTTGCCACCAATTGGTCTGTATTTGCAGATATAGATGACCTAGCAAATTGTTTGTAAAGCAAGTTGACATTTGGCATATTTAGTTTTTATGCAAATGATCTATCAGTGAATTATCCAAATGATTAACAAATATTTCTGTCCCTGTCAAATTTTTAATATAATTAAATAGCGTTCCCATAACATCTGCATTCCTGCTTGTCATTGCTTGTGCTCCATAGGTGGATATGCCAAAAGTCATTTCAAATGGAATTGGTAAGTTCTCCAACAGTGGTTTTAGTTCCTTGTGCCAGTCTTGCTGTAGTTCCTGCAGTTGTTATAAATGAATCCAGTTCTTCAATTATATTAAAATTGGAATTGATTCCTCTTACAGATATTGCTAGTTATGTTTTGTCACTTATGTTACTGCTCTCATCAAGCTCTAAAGAACACCATTCAAATTATTTCAGTGCATTCAGTTGCAGTTGTGGAATAGATCTCAGATCATCTTACAGCTGTAAATCTGGACAAATTAATTCTGAATGTAATGTCTTTCTTAGCATGGAAAACTATTTTGGCAACAGAAGTTAAACATTCCTTAATTATTTTTTCATCAGCGAATGGTTTCTTTTTTGGGAGGGCTAAAATATGACTAACATTGTAAATAGCTTTCACTGACAAAAAAGTTTTAAATATATTGTTTGGTTGTTTAAATCTTTTTTTCAATTCATTTATTTTATCTCTCTGCATCTGGCCATGGATATCTTATAATTTGTATCATGTTTCGTCTCGTAATGCCGTTTAATATTGTTATGAAATGTACAGGCGCTGTAAGATGGTTTCGCCGCAAAGCAGTTTTAGGGTTGCCATAAAATGGCAAGGGAAGGCAGGGTTGCCACATTTGGCAAGAAATCGCCCAATTGGTGATATGCTATGGTCGGGTGGAGAACCTTCTGGAACGAATTCTTACAGAATTAGCCCAGAATGTTCTCAAATACAAACTGAAAACTATATAAACCCTGCTAGTTCTCAGTCACTTAGTGTGTGTGCCTCGCCTAGCGAGCTGATAGTCAGTCATTGAGTGAGTGTCTCGAAGTCTAGTGCCGAGTTGGTCGTCGAGTGCATTGAGAGAGTCTTTTAGTGCATCGTTGAATTTTGTCTTAGACTGTGCTGAGTTGAGAGCTATATTCTTGTATATCGTTGAGTGCATCGCAAGTTGTAGCGTGGAGAGTCTCAAGAGTACAAGGATTTCAGAGAACGACCATGCAGAGTTGAGAGCTATACTCTAGTGCTTTGCGGTGAAGCCATCTTACTGCGCCTGTTACCATTTCGTAACACTGCCGCCTCCCAAGAACTGCACATCCGGGCAGTACAACCCTTGGTCAGAAGTCAGTTTCGATATAATCGAAACGTTTTAAAATATACAGATAACATAACTAAAGAAACAAACATTTACACTACATACAAACTTTACACAGAAACTAGGTAAAAAAACTCATGCACTAGAATTATGGGTACCCCTAAGAGTAAGAAACACTAAGTACTATAGCCATAGTATGGGGCTAATTTGTCATAATGAATAACCTTGGGTTTTGAATTGGGGATTTACGGATCCGTATCACAACGTCGTTCAATCTGTTGAGGACTGTATAGGCACCCTCCCAATGCGACTGCAGTTTGGGAGAAACACCTGTACAACGACTTGGATTCCACAGCCAAACCTTGTCGTTTTCCTGGAATTGATGATCAGTGGCTCTTGCGTCGTATCTCTTCTTCACCCTGTCCATCGAGATGTTGATCGACTCTCGAGCAAACCTATGTACTGTTTCCAACCGGGCCTGGAGGTTTTGCACGTACTCCTCAGGCGAGGAATGTACATCTGGAGGGAGGGCGGCTGAAGAGCAGGTCACTTGGCAGACGGAGATCACGACCGAAGAGCATCTGTGATGGACAATAGCCGGTGCTTTCATGGACAGCACTATGGTAAGCAAGTAGGAACAGGGGCAGCTTGCGATCCCAGTCTTCTTGGTTTTGGGAAACCATGAGCGAGAGGTGGTTCAGGATTGTATGGTTAAACCTCTCCACCATGCCATCAGACTGCGGATGTAGCGGGGTCGTCTGCGTTTTCTTAATTTCCAACAAGTTACAGAGTTCCTTGAACACAGCCGAAGTGAAGTTCCTGCCTTGGTCAGAAAGAATCTGGAGGGGGATCTCACTTCTAACACCACTTGTTGTGTTTTTCTCTTCCTGACACTAGTTGTTACATTATTTTCTTACTTCACGTTCGTACGGGATTCGTAGATTTGAAGTTAATAACGACGACACTTGATGAAGTATCGAAACACACTTAATTTACCAGTATTGTCAGGACAGCTCCAAAACACGTTTTACAGTCATCGATGAACTACTACAAACATGCTGACACAATCAGCGACACAGCCTTCAGGTTATCAGGCTATCACGTTGGAGATAGCTTCATGTCAAAGCACTAGAGTACAGCTCTCGACTCTGCTTGGTCATTCTCGAAACTCCATGTACTCTCGAGACTCTCCTCGCTCCAACTCACGATGCACTCAACGATACACAAGAGTATAGCTCTCGACTCAGCACAGTGTAAGACAAAACTCGGCGATGCACTAAAAGACTCTCGATGCACTCGACGACCAACACGGCGCTAGACTTCGAGACACTTGCTCAATGACTGACTATCAGCTCGCTAGACGAGGCACACACACTAACTGACTGCATACCAGCAGGGTTTATATAGTTTTCAGCTTGTGTTCGAGAACATTTTGGGTTAAACCTGTAAGAATTCGTTCCAGAAGGTTCTCCATCCATCCATGGCATATCGTCAATTTTGTCGCCAAATGGGCAATTTCTCGCCAAATGTGGCACCTCTGCCTTCCCTTGCCATTTTATGGCAACCTTAAAACTGCTTCGCATGGAAGCCGTCTTACCATGCCTATACATTTCGTAACAATATATTTTTTCAACATGGATACTGAATCTGAGCATAAAAGGCAAGCAACTTTGCCTTGCAAGTGTGGAAAAAATTCTTCTATTTCCGGTTTTTATTAAAATTTATGTTTCCGGCCCAAATTTTTTTTTCCGAGGACATTTTCCCAACTAGAAATAGGACATGTGTTTATTAAAAAAAAAAAAAGAAAGAAAGTAAGAAAGAAAATTAATTTTCAGTTGAAGCAGTTAGTTTTTAAATTAAAAAGTACTATTGACATCTTTATTACAATGATGTACTAATAAGTCACAATAATAGACAAAAATAATTCTATGAGAACTACTATGAACCAAGCAATAGGATGATTGAGAATTTTAGTATAGAGCACATGCAGCCTTGTGCGTACCTCACTGGTTGTGCAGGTAAAATAAGCAAACAAAAACAACTTATTCTTACTTTGATATGCAGTGATAGAAAAGAGAATACTACATACTTCTCTTATGACAAAGTAGTCTCTAGGGTTATGAAAATCGAGTAGCACCAAAATTTATATAAACAATAAATGAAGAACACTTTATTTTTTTTTTTTTACTAGGGTGGTGGATATTTTACTTTTCCCATGTCCTCTAGTTATATTTTAATTCATTATTACTTCAGAAGTCCATAACATAATTTTCTTTTAATGGTTATATTCATTTTTAATATATAAACTAATATAATAATTAATTAATTTATGTGAGGGTCTGCTATGAACAGCCAAAAGATATTTAATTGTTAAACACTACATAAAGGAACCATGCAAAGACTGTTAATAACAGAATGAAATCCCAAGGTATTTTGAAATGAGATATTAATGTTTGTATTATTTTTCTTCATACAAGTATGACAACATCTAATTATGTTTTTACACAAGCCTTTTTTTTTCCATAAATTTGAATTAACATGAATTTAAAATAAATATTTAATTTTCTCTTTACATGTGTCATTTTGATTTAACATGATTGGGCCAACCCTGTTTCTAAGATTTTTTTGAGGGGCCTTTAATTTTAAGAAAAACAATATTTATTAGAATAGGAGTATTTTTTTATTACCATAGTAATTAGTATTAGGAGCATAGGAGTACAGGCATGTAAAGATTGCATAACTAGAGGAGAATAAAGCACCTCCCCACAGTTAGTAGTTAAGTCATGTGACTAAATGTATTAGTTTTCTCTTTTGTTCCCAAGCTGTGTGTACTTTGAATTTGGAATTGAAACCGATGTTTTATATCTTCAGAAGACATTTAGTATGTAGCTGTATTTCAAAATGAAAGAATTTTCAGTCAAATTTGTGCACATATAAATTTATTAATTTTGTTGAAAGTAATTAAATCGAAGATCCTTTTTTTTTTTTTTATTTCAAATGCAAATTTACCTTAATACATTTTCATTACATATTACTACAAATGTATTTGTTGAAATATAAGAATAAGCTTAAAATGAATATTTCTTTAACCCTTTGGCTACATTTGATGTATCAGTATGTCATGCATTTGTTTGGGCAAAGATGCACATGACATTCTAATATAGTGTTTCCCAACCTTTTTTGTGCTTTGCCCCCCCATAATCCTCTCTAAAATTCTTATGCTTCCCCTAGCATATATATAGTTTTTAATATTCAAGAATTAAAATGTTCACGAAAGAAACTTGAATGATAGGTTTCAGAAAGAAATTTCTAGGCATTTAAATGTCCCTGTCTACATGGATAATTCATTACAAAATATTTAAAATACACTGCAATTTAAAATCTTTTTTACGTATACATCACTTACATTATTTTTTATTTTTGGGAATAAAAAATGAAATTTGAAAAACTTTCAGCTTGAAGAAAATTTGGAAATTTGAATGTCCATTGTCCTCCTAAACTCTGGACGAGTCCATTTTTGAATTGCCCCCACATTGGGAAACACTGTTCTAATACGACATCGAAACTGAGACGAGATTTAACTAGTTCGTTCCCTTTGGCTACATTTGACGTATCGGTATGTCATGCATTTGTTTGGGCAAAGACACACATGACGTTCTGGTACATCATTGAAACTGAGACGAGATTTAGCTAGTTCATTCTGTTTTATTTCAAAGTAATGTGTATCTGTTGTAACAGAACAAATAATTTCAGTAGTTTGGTGAACCTTATGGTAAAATCTATTGTTCTTACTTGCCCGCAAAATTAAATATCTAGTACAAAAAAATTTTCAAGTAAATGTTTACCCAAAAGGTTAAATTATGTTTGCTAATTTTTTAGACCCAGAATCGGTATTCTTTTCTTCCAAAGGTATTTTTATTTATTTATTTATTTTAATTTTTTTTAACATGTATTCTCCAAGAATATATTTGTGATGTAAAAATATAAAAATAGAATTAGATGTATAAAGCAATCAATAAAATTGTAAGAGGTTGCATTTGTAGGAATTCTATTTTATTACTCTAGAGCAGTGGTCGGCAAACTTATTAGCCAAAGAGCTAAATATGAACATTACAACAATTTTAAAAATAATTGGGAGCCAAATCTGCTCATTTAGTAAACTTTTATTACACTAAATAAAACTAAATTTAATACTTAATAAATATTTATTAATTCGAACAATGGGCTTGCATCTCCTTGGAAAGTTTGAGTAAGTCAGGTTTGTATGTTGTTGTTTTTAATTTAGGCATGATTCCAATTTCTCACCAATAAGACGACTTCTCAGTTTACTCTTGATAATGTTCATGCTTGAAAAAGATTGTTCGCATATATATGTAGAACCGAAAAGGGGAAGAACAGCAAACGCGAGCTTTTTCAGCTAATCGTAAGAGTCAGGAATACTATTCCAAGCGTTGATAATGATCATGTCTTCCTTCTCCAGGTCATTCAAAGCAGACTACTTGCGTTGTGAACTAAGATCATATTTTTTCTTTTCCAATATTTCCAATTCAACACAAAGACATTCGAATTTAGAGCGCCATATCTCCTTGTTTTTTTAATCCAGCAATTGTATTTCAAAAGGAGAAAACTTCACCTCGGTTATCATAGCATTAAGAAGATTTTTGACAAATGATAAAGTTGCTCTGCTGTTTTTAAATTCCTGAAACCTGCTGAGAAATGCTTCCCTCAAATTTAAAATTATTATTTTAAAATGGTGTTTATCAATAGGATTTTCTCTTGCGATGCTTCAGCAGGCTTGGAAAGTGAAACAATGTTTCCCTTCAAAATCTTGTGCAAAAGGGATAATTTGTTTTCGAATGTTGTTATTTCTTCTAACATCGAAAAAAAAGTTTCCTTTCCCTTGTAGTTTACGATTAAGCTGATTTAGATGAGATGTAACATCTACCGTGAAATAAAAGTTTTGGATCCACTGATCGTCTGTTAGTTCTGGATAGTAAATGCCCTTCTCAAGTAGAAATGCTTTAATTTCCGGAAAATGGGACGTGAAATGTTTTAAAACGTTCCCTCTTGTTAACCAACATACCTTGTAACGAAGCAGAAGATCAGCATACTCACTCTCCATTTCAAATAAAAATTCTTTGAATTGGCGATGATTAAGAGCTTTAGCTAAATTGGAGTTGATAATGGTAATCACTAATTCCATAACTTTATACAAATTTCTTCCGGAAATGTTTGCTCACAAAGCACTTCTTGGTGAATGATACAATGATAAACAAGTATCTCGTGATTAATTTTTCTTTAAAAATAGCAACAACCCCTTTTCTTACGCCGGTCATCCTTTTGGCTCCATCTGTTGAAATCTACACAATTTTATCGAGGGGAATATGATGTTTAACCATACACTCAATTACAGCATTGGCGATATCTTCTCCACGTGACTGACCTTTTAGGGGCAATAATGCTGAAAGTTTTTCTTTAGGGCCTGAATGAGACATAAATCTTACAAAAAGTGAAACTTGCGCTGTATCATTTATATCACAAGACTCGTCAACTGCTATTGATAAAGCTGAAACCAATTTCAGATCTTCGATATGCTGGGTGGTTATATTCAAACACATTTTAATTGTTCTATCTTTAATGGTTTTCGCAGACAATGGTAACTCTTTAATTCTTTTCAGAATATCTGCTTTGTTCTTAAAATTCCAAAATAGCTCTTTGGATGCATTTATAAAACAATTTTTTATGTATTCGCTGTCTGTGTACGGTTTTCCTCGCTTAGCAATCTCTTGGCTACAAACAAAACTTGCCATATTAATATTGCTGGAAAATTGCATACAGTTATTAAACACAGAATTCGACGACTCTTGACTGTTCTGAAGTTTGTCAACTGCTTTCTTCCTTGCATCACTGGTAGGATATTTAGTGCTAAATGACGCGTGCTTTCTTGTAAAGTGTCTCTCTAAATTTGACTTCTTGTTATGCGCAAATTTCTCCTTACAAATAAGACATGTCGGAAGTCCATTCAAGTTTTGAATAAATGCAAAATTCTTGGTCCACTCAACTTTAAATTCGCGATTTTCATCTTCTGTTTCTCTTTGCTTTTTTTTTTGGTAGCTATGTTAATTGGGGATGCCTATAAAATATTCCAAATATATTTTTTTCTAAAGCCACCAGTACAAAATTATCATCATTATTAAATTGATGAAAATAAAAATAAAAAAAAATCTTTTTTAAAAATACAATTTTATTAATATATGTAACTGCACTAAAAGAAAAAAATAATTTTTCCATCATCAGAATAACAAAACTTTTTAATATGACCAAATGGAAGAAAACTTCCAACATTTGGACAAATAGAAATTATCGAAAAATCGATTACAAATTTTGTACTGGAACCACAAACATACATAGCAGGTGTAATAAAATCATATAAAAATACCTGTAAGATGTGCAGCTAGATTAAAAAATGCAACAACTTTTTAATAAGACAGGACTACGGCAGACGCGGTAGATAAGGCAAAACTGTTCACACTGCAACTGCTGCTCTGTGATGCCAATTTGTACCTTCACTACTTTATAAATAGCATGCACGCGCATTCCCCTAGCTTGTACATGGTTTATGTTTACGTTTACGAAAACTAATAAAATTAAACTCGATGTTCGTTACGTATTTTTACAACAATATAAAATTTTAATTACCTATCTATTTTTTTACTCAAACAAAAAATTATACATGTTCTCGATTAATAGAAGAATTTTAATATATCAAAATAAGATGTAATTTTTTTCTTACCAAGTTTTTTTTAAATGAAAATATTATTGCGCCTTCCGTGGATATTTGTACCAGAGCCACACTTAAGGAGCCAAAGAGCCTCATGTGGCTCTGAAGCTGCACTTTGCCGACCACTGCTCTAGAGTAATAAAATCGGAATCGTATCTCGTTTTTTAAAACTAAATCATATAAAACTAACACATTTCGGTTCCTATAATAATTTTCATCGATTAGTTAAAAATATATATATATAATAATCAAAGAATGTTTTGATTTTAGTGGATTTTGTACACAGTGTGCCTTGCAGCTTGAAGTGTGCCCTATGTGCCGTAGTGCTATAGATGAAAGAGTTGAAGTTGGATGAAGGCAAGTTTTCTGAACTTTTAAATTTAAAATAAGTTGTTTTTTATGTAATTGTTTGGCATTATTAATATTTACCATATTTTAATATACAGATTATACAAGTCTGGGCCTGAAGATTTTAAATATGACTGAAATTTTATTGACATGATATATTTATCCAGATTGAAGAACTGTCTCAATCTGAGAGAAATCTATGCTTGTTTTTATGAGAAAGCTATATTGGTACATACTATTGATGCTAAAATCATTGTTGCACATATAAAGTTCTAAAATGAAATATTTTTAAAGAAACTCGGGTTATAACCAGTTTAATAGAAATTACAATTGATATTAAAAAAATGGCCTTTTTATTATTCATACACAGGGAAAAGAACTATTTGATTTCATTATTGTAAATTGCTTTTGATCCTGGTTATCATCAGATAATGTGTAATTTTTTTTAAGTGTCTTTTGTATTCAAGATTTTCCAGTATTTCGTGTGTGATGCAACTCGGTGTTTCATGATTGATTCCAGTAAAAAGAATTATGCCTATAGTTTCATGTAAATTTATGCAAGTCTAGTGCCAAATATTGAACCTTGTATGGTTTCTTTAATTTTCAGTGGTAGATTTTTTCGATATGTTTATCATTAAATCATACTGAATTTGCATAGCAGTTACTATATCATATCCGTATATATATTCACTATTTATTGTGTGTCAAAGACCTGGGAATTTTATGACCTTATTTAAATTTGTATATATCTTGTGAGTTTGTTATTTTATTCTGGGGTATGGCAAGCTTTTAACTTTGTATCCTTTTGTCATAAAATTTAGCCTTTAATATTAGAAAGGCATGAATGTCCATTTAATTACTTTTTTAATCAATGTTTCTTTATTATACAATTTTATATTAAATAAAACCAGTGAAAAGCTTTTATTTCCATAAATATGTTTTGTTAAGAAAGGGCAGAGAGATTTTTTAACACATTTAAGACTTCTACACTTTTACTTTAAGGTGGGAGTCATTAAATTTTTTAGTTTAGTGTTAATCAGGAGCAACTAGCACATTTTCATTTTTTTACTGAAGTTAGAAGCCTGTGATATATTTTAATGTTTTTTCCAGAGTTGCGGTTGGAGGCATTATGCTCAAAACCATAGTAAATTTGCTATTCATATTAAAAATGAAAAAAAAAATAATAATAATTGGCATTTAATAAAAGAGCTTCTGGGAAAAAATGAAATGACTAATTATTGAAGTGAAGCTTACAATAAAAAATTGATTTTTGAAAAAAATTTAGATTTTTGGAAATTTTGCAATCTATGCACTTATTAAACAGAAAGAAAAAAAAAGGCTTATAATGGCAGTTAAATAAAATATGTTCATCCAGTTAATTATCTTTTGAAGAAATTTAAAATATGTGTAAATTAAAACTGTAGTTATCAGTGGTTAAATCTATGTAACCAAATAAAAGAAGACTAGAGTTGACTTCCCCAAAGATTAAAACATACAAAGTTCTGCTGACATATTCTGTAAAACTGGGTTCATTGCATTTATAATTTTCAGTTCTTCATTAATATTGAATAAAAATCTGACTAATACAATTGTAATATGTTGGATGATTATGCAAATTTATGACAACATGTGTACATGAACAATATACTAACATAAACGTAGCTGATAATCTGCTTATAATTGAAATCATGACTTACGAATGACAAAGGCCAGTAAAGGATAACCTGCATAGTTTAATTCTTCCATGATTCAATGATGAAAATTATCAGTCGTCACAAAAATGTCGAAAGAAAAACTTACCTTTTAGGTATCAGATTTCTTGTTGTTATATTTTAAGTTTCCAATTTTAATTTCTTAGAATTTTTCATATATATTTGAGTGTACATGTGATGATTTAAATATAGATGTCATGACCATGAATTAGCAATAATCCGTAGAGATAATAGCAGTAGTCGAATCTCAATAAACATATTTTATTTCTTGAGAAGCACAATATTAACTTAAAGTGCAATGGATGCAATCTGCATGCCTGCTGTTTATCACATTTGTGCCTTTTTTGTACTTTTTTCCAGAATGATTGATTTCAGTTCACCTTTAATCCCTGTTGGTAAGTTTCGGTTCCCAAAATGAAAATCATTATTTTCTGAAGCGTTTTATGTTATGACCATTTTATGTCATGACTGTTGTGTAAGTACCATATGACAGCTTAAGCAGGTGGTCTTCTTATGTCTTGCTTAAATTGAGTAGACTAGAAGCGAAACACGCTAATGTGACAATCAAAATCGTAAAAACAACCTTGTATATAGCGTAAGTATATTCAAACACTCAATCGATTTCGAGGGCAGCTGAAGGTCCCTCCTTATCAGGAGAAAGAAATACCTGGAAAGAAGAAAATAAAGGGGAAGGAGTGTCAGAAACACGTGGTCCTTATCAGCACTGCATGGCGTTATAACTGGATTTTTAATCAGAGTTGCACTGGCTGCCTACTTTTACTGAGCCAGGCTATCTGATCAAGCATAAAGGACAAGAAAAATTAGCGAAGTTAAAAATAGGGAGCGAGGGGCAAATGCACCTTCAAGCTCAAAATCTGAACTTCAAATGGTATAAATCATAAAAACAACCTTGTATTTAGCATTTATACAAGGTTAAAAATAGGGATTTACGATTTTGATTAAATTGAATAATCCTGTAAATCTGCCTTTACATTACATGCTAAACACAACTAATATATTTTTAACAAAGATTTAAGAGAAAAGCTATATTTTTATTCTGTGTATTTGCCAACTCTTCCAGTTTTTCATGCCGTATACCAGTCTTCCAATAAATCACTGAACCTCCTGGTTTTTAATTTTTAACATTTAATAGGGAAAATGTTTCTCAGCAATAAATGAAACTTAAATTGGGCAAATTCCATGCCCCCCCCCACCATGAGTGAATTTCAGCATAGTTTTTCTTCTTAAGTTTGATTTAATATGAATTGTCTTAATCTATTGCTTTATTTATTTTTTTTTTTTTTTTTTTTTTTTGTATCACTGTGCAATACAAAAACCTCTCGAAAAATCTCAGTTTTTCATATTTCAAGGTTGGCAGTTACAATGTGAATCGTTTACTTATTTTTATATATACTATCATATATAATGTAATTTAAATTGTTCGTATGCTTTATTTAAAATAAAAATGCAGATGATTATTGATTGCTTTAAACTGACACTTTGCTTCAATTTCTTCAGATATTTAATGCATGACATAACAAAAAAAAGCCATTGCATATGTATGTTGATCTAGGCTTATATGCTTTGTTTCTGAATCAGCTATCCTCACTGTATTAATTTAAAAAAAAAAAAAAAAAAAACTTGTCCATCATTTTTGTAAACATTTTCTTAAAATTGAGTGTTTAAATTCACAAATATGTACTATTAAAATATGTGCATGTGTGTCTGTCTGTTCATAACATCTCTTCCAGAACGACAGTTTAGTTTCGAGAGAAGTATCCTCCATATTCCAAAAATTCGTGGGAAGCCATTTCGACCATTGTCATCTCTGTACAACTTTAACCAGCTGACATATTAATTAAAAACTCTGAAAATGCAAATTTCACACTCATTTTTCTGAGTGGCAACAGTCCCATATGCTGGAAATAAAAATCCTGTATATCGAAAAGTATTGCCAATGCTTGCTTTCATATCGTAGAATTTACAAAATATGAAATACAAATGACATTGCCAAACATTAAACAGATTATTATTATATGAGGTTATTCTTGCGTTGAAGAAAGCATGCGATTGCATGTGATGTCATTGAATGTCGAAAATTTTTTATTAATATCAGCATTTTAAATAAATAGCCACTGTTGCCAACTTTTTAGTTTCAGATCAAAATAATTGACACAATATGTTATTGCCATGTTAATTCTTTTATTGAGAAAAAATTATTATACAGTCAAAAGTCATTAATTTGGACACCCATAATCCGGAATGATCTATAATCCGGACCTCAAAGCTACAAACTTTCTGCGCATGCGTCGCGTTGACGTAAGACCTTTACGTCTGTGAAAAGGTGTGTGCGTGTGTGCAAAGTACGTTTACGCATGCGCGTTTGATGTATAACGGACGGTATAAGCTAAGCTAAAATTATCTAATTCAGTTAATGTTGCAGATTGCGTTGTTCCTTAATCTTCGAATTGGATCCGGCTTATTATTTTTTGCAGCCTGTTGGAGCAATTTTATAAAAGTAAGCTTGAACTTTCGATTATGTCAAATAGAATTTCCAATATATATTTACCAATATGTAAAAGATCTACCAAAGCGAAAGGATGTTTCAAAGTCCATTAAACAAAAGTTGAATTTCTGCAAAAAATGACCTAACCATTCCAAAATCTGTTTATTCCAAAATCTGTTATCAAATTTCACGCTGCTCTGCGGCGGGGGATGGGGGTAACAGCGCACAATGAATTGGAAGTTGATCTGTCAGCACTATCCATATCTTCAGGGCAGATGTTTTCAACGCAGCAGGCGTGCAGTAAATTGGAAGATGATCTGTCAGCACTATCCTTATCTTCAGGGCAGATGTTTTCATTTTATTTGGCTTATAATTCCTTACTAAATGTAGTACTTCATCTCGATGTATTCCGTCTTGATATGATTTAAATCAAATTCCTCGTCATTATAATTTGCTTCCAATAGTGAAGAAAGTGACACAGAAGTTATTGAAAACGAAAAAATTTCGATTAACAAATTAGTCGGTATTCTTGACACAGCAATTATAGGACTTGAACAGCGGAACTCTTTAACTGAACAAGAAATTTTGTCTGTTTATAGAATTAAAGAGAAAGTATTATCACATAAAACGAAGCAAACAACTTACATTGAAAGAAATGTTTAATAATGTAAACAAATAAATATTAAGCTTTTTTTTTTTTTTTTTTGTGTAAATTTTTTGATACCCTTTAAGATCATAATTGTTCTTTATTTCATAAATTATGGTTTCATATTTTTAATTTTATAATTTCTGCATGCCATCTTACCAGATTTAAACTGATGATCTATAATTCGGAAAAATCGATAATCCAGAATCGCCGAAGTCCGGATTAACGACTTTTAACTGTATTAAATTTAAATCATGAGATCATATGCGTACCTGAACCGTCAAAAAATTTTGTTTTCTGGTTTGGCAACAAAAAATTACTTACAAATTGGTTGTTTCTTGGAAATGAATTTATTTCATTCATATTAAAATGTTTTCATACATTTATTTTTACACAGAACTTATTAATTTTGCTTTGGCCGCAGCCCACTAGTGTTGTATTAAATGATAACAGAAAAATGTCTAATAACCATTAAGATATTAAAATTAATTGGCATGTTCTATGTATATATATATATATTGTGTGTGAAATGCATTTAAGGCAAAAATTTCATTTGTTAATTATATATAAATAGAAAATGAAAATGTTATGTATCATCAGAAGTGCACAAATTATAAAACATAAAAGCTTCTCTGCCCTTTGTTGTCATATAAAATATAATGTCATGATTTCAGTGGGTGTCTTTAGATGAGGGGCCTTCACCCATTATCTTCTGGCAATAAAATATTAGAATAAAAATCATTGGTCTTGATTAACCCTCTGACCAGCAAAGCCGGATATATACAGCCTAGAATATTTTTTGTGATATCTGTAAGAGTCTGATACATGCATCTTGAAATATGTCTATGAAATTAAGGCAATAAATTAAAAGTACATAACAGGTATAAAGTACCAGAGATATTTTGTGATTAAAATTAAGAAAATACCTATTTCTTATGGCAGTTTTCGAAAATTTGGGCTTTCTCTGTGAAACCCTGTGCTGGTCAGAGGGTTAAAGAACATTATTTTTATTTCCATATCTGTAGTAACTTTTATATTGACAAAACTTATTCAAGTTGATATGTTTAATGTTACTAAACATGTGAATAAAACAATGAATTAACTTCTGAATTCTCATTTAAAAACAGTCATAAATTATATAAAAAATTAACATTGTATAGATTAAATCTCATTGGCAAAACATTTGTATATCTTCTCCTCTGATAACTTAATATGTTTAATATATGTGTTTTTCTATTATACTAACCTGGTATATATGAGGGTGACATAATATTATTGTACTTAATAATGCATGTTTGAATTGTTTCCTAGTTTGGAGATTAAAGGTTTTCGTGGATGAAGTTAAACACATTCCTTTTGAATCTTGTTGTAGCAGTTTTTTTCTACAGGTATATCAGCTTTATGGATGAGATATTTTTATGGTTGCCTTTTAATAATGCAGAGTCATTAGAACATGATAATTGTTAAATGAGACTTGTGATGTATACATACTCAACATGAGCAGTGCTAGCTGGAAATTTTTCCTTTCCTTTTTTCTAACAGCTACATACTTTTCTAATTAAATATTCATCAGGAATATTTAATTAGCATTGGTCATTTAACTGTTTCAGTAATAAGCATGTTGACCAGGATGCACTGCAGGGAATGACCAAAGTATTCTTGCAATAAAGGAGAATTTCTCTCCCAATTTTGATGGCGGCTTCTTTGGAGAATGGTTGTATGCATCTCCTATCTACCTCTCAAAAAGATTTTTGGTTCAACAATATTTTAAGTGCCTCCATGCTGTAAATATGTTTATACACTTGCAAACATGCTTGACTTCTCCTAGATTTGAACCACCACCCAAGATTATGGCAGCCAGCTTCCATATCACAAGATTAACACGGTAGCTTGTTAGAATTAAATGTAAACTCGTAT